TTTTCAGCATCCAGATTTCACTCACATACCGATATTATGATTTTTTTTGTAGATAGTTTTATATTCTATTATTATTATTAAAAGGAAATGTTTAATTTTTTTGTAACACTTTACTCAATAGTGGAAGTTTTTCTTCAGGTTTTGGAACTCAGGTTACTGGAACAGTCATTTAGCTGGACGCAAGTATCACATCAGTGCTTTGTATGTGGTAGATTTGAAGAAATTCCGCCGCATCGCTGCTGGTGACCGCCTCCGTGGCCAGTACCAAGGTCTTAGCCAAGATCCCAACAGTTTGTCCAACTTGGACCAGGACCTGCCTAACAACATGATTCATCAGGTGGCTATCAAGTCCCTACCTCAGGAGTGGCTGTACTGTGAGACCTGGTGCAGCGAGTCTGAGAAACCCAAAGCTAAGACCATTGATTTGGTGAGTACTCCACTGGTTATAGATATAGATTGGATGGAAGTTTATAATCTTTTATTCTTATCGCATATAAGTACCGGTAATAATTTTATTTTTTTATTTTTTTTCATTGTGTTTACATCTCAATTATTTAGTCTATGAGACATAGTCACTGATTGGTAGAACTCATTGGACAAAATAGCCCACCTAAAGGTCTTCATGGAGGTGTGGTGGCTGAGTGGTGAAGCTCTTAATTTCTGAACTGGAGGTCCCTGGTTTGAAGACTGGGATTTTTTAATTTCAAGATCTTAAGGGCGCCTCTGAGTCCACCCAGCTCAAATGGGTACCTGACATTAGTTGGGGAAAAGTAAAAGTGGCTGGTCGAATGTATTGGCCACATGACACCCTTGTTTACCATGGGCCACAGAAAAAGATGACTTTTACATCATCTGCCGTATAGATAGCAATGTCTGAAAGGGAACTTTTACTTTTTTGAAGGTCTTTACGACACTTGAAGGATAGGATGTCAACGTGTCTGATCATTTTGTTTTAACTTTTAAGCATGATGAATTTGTCAGGGCTTCATCCTCTCATAGTAGGCACTTGTATTGATGAAATCTTTGACTTCAAAAACTTTTGTGCCGATGTGCAGAAAATCCATAATTCAAATCCTTCAAAAACCTCCTGGTGTTTTTTTTTTCTTTTAAGCAGATGTTGTCATTAATTGATTAAGAATTGTAATTAACTGTACTCTGCTATTGACAGTGCAACAATCCCCTGACCAAAGAGCCCAAGCTCCAGGCTGCAATGAGGATCGTTCCAGAATGGAAAGATTATGACTATGAGATCAAAGTTCTTTGGGATGAAATTTACCAGACCAATACCAAAGCACAGATAGAGTATGATCCTCCAGTACAGAAAGGTTAGTGAACGGAAGCAACAGATCTTAGAATTTACAATCACTTGCAAAAAATTATTTAAATACCTGTCAATTATTCAAAATTTGAATACAGTTTTATTTAGTTCAGTGACTTTGAAACTATCCACGTCTGCTCCACTATAGTCATCAAATCTAATTTGATTGTGCAGCAGTATTGAAAAATGTTCTTTGATTCTGAACCATCAAAAAGTAATTTGAACTTGGAACTTGTTGATTACCAATTTTAAAAATAGTTTTGTTTTGTTTTTTTGTTTGTTTTTTACTTCTAGCTTACATAAATGTCTGTGTTGCAGAGGGGGCACATTTTTAGTGTCTCTTGTTCTATCATTTAGCATGTGGGATTCCTGACCTCCCACTCCAAAGTAAACACTGACCAGACTTTCGTCTCATAACATGGGCTTGTACTAGAGTAACCCCCCCTCTCCCATTTGTATGCATTTTTTTACAGAATTTCTGGACCAAATAGGTGTGTATACCCTGATAATAGTCCCCAACCCCATTCATTATTTTGTTTAATAGGCAACAAGGGAAACTAATATTTGAGTATTCACATGTATGGCTAAAGTTGTTGGGTTTAGTCCCCCTTAAATTATTGTTCATGCTATTTCTCCCTAACGTATTCTCTGTTCAAGTTGATAAACCAATATTTATTGTACCTAACAAAACGTAAATCAATAAACAAAATTACTAAATTAGTTGATTAATTATTGGTAACTTAATATTTTGTTAAATATCGAATAAGGGAAATAACATGTACATTATTGGTAAAAATAGTTTTAAGGATAGAGTTCTTCCCCTTTAGATAAGCTCTTTTTTTTTTATTTCTTTTTTTTTAAATTTTTTAATATTTTGCTTGCTTTTTTTACTTATTTCAGGCTCACCCAATCACATCGATGATGAACTTTGATGCTTCACTAATTAGGTCATTTTTGTTTGAATATGGTGTGAAGATGTTGTTTTTAAACAAAATATTTATTTGAGTGTATCAGTTTGAAAACTGTAGAAAGTAAAAAGGGAGTGTACTCTGAAATTGTATATGGTTACTGTTACTGAAATCAACAAGCTGCCTGGTTTATCTCCAGTTCCTAAGTTTGAGTGTGTGGTGATTTCTGATCATGTTTATTGGTTATGTCATTCCAGTTAATATATGAATTTTTTTTATATTCAGACAAAAGTTTTTAAATTTTTCTTCTTTATAGATTGTGAGCTTTTGATAATTTGAGTTATTATTTAAATATCGTGCTATACCTAGTTTAAGGTTTCCTTAAATCATGAATGTTATGGTGAAAAACAATTTTGTTGACATTATTTCGTATTGAGTTGAACCTTTACTTTGATTTACCACTCATTTTGTACTATTATATCTAATTCTGTTTGTATTTACATTGCTCCAGTTTACACTGCCATGAGTGTCATGTTGTGTAAGGAAACTGTACCACTAGGTTCCCTGATACAGTTCACAAATCAGATGATATGCATCAAGAGACAAAAAAAAAAGCAATTAGTCGATGAGATTTAACATTTTTTTTGCTTCTTTGGTTTTGAATCTCTGGATGCCATTTCCTTCGTGGTCTATGTAAAGACAGCTGGATAGACAAGAGGAGACAAGGGAATGAAACATTTTAAATAGAATTCTTTTTTTTTTTTTTGAAAGATTTGAATGGGCATAGTTAATGTGTTTTAAATTTAGGAATGCTGCTTCAAAATTGACAAACTAAACTGTACATTATATAATATAAGAATAAATATATATATATAAGAAACACATTCTCCTTCATGTATATTAATTTTTGTTTTGATATAAAATGCATTTATGGAAGGACAGCTATCAAATAGGATTTCTGTACTCTTCCATCTTGTTCTGTGTATGGAATGTGCCAACACATAGTTACCTTCTCACCATCATTCAATTTTTAATCTCTGGAATGTGTTAAATCTTAGTTCCCTGCAAGGTGGATTAAAACTAAATTCTTATAATTACTACATTATCATGACACTAAATTTTAGTGCATTTTTTTTTTACCCCTGTTCAAATATTCAAAAATCAGGTTTTCGAAATTTTTTATAATAATGAGAAAAAACATTTGGGCAGCATGGTAAAGGTTTAAATTTTGGATGAATGAAAACAGAATTGTCTCCTCTGAATGACAATCACACATTGCATGTTAAGACTACTACTGTGTCTGTCTTTGTTCACATTGAGCCCTTGCAAATGTCATACAAGCATTACAGAAATTGCATATGTGTTGTTTTTTATGTGTTTACATTTGAAGTGCCAATGTCATTTCTTCATTCAATATGTAAGTCCACTTGCAATATTTCTTGAATCATCTAGTATTGGTATCATAATGCAGTCTGTTTGGGGAAGCATTCATGAATGCAGCTGATTAAAAGACTGATTGATAAAACAAAGGCCCTTGTCTCTAATTCTGGTTTTGCAGATATTTCTTATCTGAATGTCTGTATCTTTGTTTTGTCAAGTTTTTGTTATCTGAAACTTGATTGGGATTACAAATGTTGATGGGACCAATGACTGGTTAGATAGAATGGTAGGCTAAATTGGAACTGAACTTACTGTCAGCAGCTAAAAACTGAAAGTTGTCATTTTGTAAATAATAAGGCTTTTAACATAAGCTCATTCGGCTATGAAAAGATTTGACTAATGATTTCAACTGCATTTCATAGACATGAATGGTTAGAAGGCTGCCTTTATGACTGCATGGTTGCTTAAAAAAGTCCACAATATATTTATTTTTTCAGAAGACTGTATGCCCCCCCCCCCCCTCCATTTTGGGTCAAATTTGATATTTTTTGCATTTTTAGCTCATTGTGAATCTGAGAGTGGATTTGTAAAATCTCTTGTTACATCAGTTTGAATGATTCAGTATTGTTGTTTCACACTGGGATGGAAAGAAATCATTTTTGTCTTCTCTATACACATGTTGGAAGACTAAATGTCACTTACATGTATCTTATATGATACAGACGTTACTTCAAAAATTGAAGATTACATCCTATTCGTCATGTTATGTAGTCCTACAGTTGTCCCCAATACTGGCTAGTTTTCATTGTTTTGGCAAGTAAATTAATCCTTTTCCACAAATGTTTGAAGGCCAGATGATAATTACAGCTCTCCACCTGTCTTTAAAACAAATTTATCGTCTCCCTTGAATATGTATGCAACAAGATATTGAAATTGGACACTAGCAGACAATGGCTTTGTCTGAATTGGCTCTGGCAAAATATGTTGGTCTCAGCTAGGTCTGTGCAGCCTCATCCTTGATATTTGGTCTCATGGCAAGTCATTTAAGATTCTTGATATACCGGCATTGCAATGCTCTGTAATCTTCAGAGTTGAAGATAACCCTTATTAGATTATCTCATAACATCTTATTTATAGACAGATTCTCTTATCAGTGTGCAAACTCTTTAGTAATGCTGAGGTGATGATGACATTATCTATTTTTCTGTGGTGGAACTTACAATTGAGCCGTAAATAGAAACAAAACTGGTTAAACACAAGGGGGACAACTGTGAATTTCTGTATGGTCTGTCATCCATAGAAACTTGTAAACTTTTGTGTTTTCATACATGAGTTGGATATTTTTCTTTTATTTTGATTGGAATTTGTTTTGCACTGAAATGCTTTTATTAGCTCTTTTCATCTACTCTCAAGGGAAATTTTTTTTTAAAACTCTCTAAGTATTTTTTTTTTTTAAGTTGATCAACAATTTGTGATTGTTCTGAATTATATTTCAACTGGCTGATTGACTGTTTGATTTTGTTCAGTGGTTCTTAAAATGTGCAGCTCCACACTCGTGGGGTGTCCCATTTTTATGTATTTTTTCGTATGGGTTTTTTTTTAACTAAGAAAACTTTTTCAACCTGAAAAGGTTTTAATTCACTATGAATAAAAAATGAAATATGGTTGAACCATGCTAATGTATAGACTTGGGACATGATTTTCAAATAGCTTTTAATTTTAAATCTAACTAAAAGCCCATTCTTTAACATGCCTGCTTCCTATTTTGTTTAGTTTGAAGTTTATAAATGAAATGGACTTTGGTTCTATACATCACCATGCTTATGATTCCATTCATCTTTAAGTGTAGACTTGTTTTATATTGTGGACAGAAAGTTACAAATAAAAATGTGAACTTTGTACTCTTATGTGTTTTTTTATTTTACAAGCTTGTATGTAAAATGTTTTACTTGGGTGTTTCTTCAGATTTGAGGGTAATTTCATCCTAGCCCAAATCACCCACAGGACAATGGTGGGTGCCAGCAGGCAAGGTATGAACCTGAGATTATTTGAATGACAGTCCAGTGCACACTTCACATGACAAGTGTTATGCTCCAATCAAAACTATTCTATCTCATAGAGTTCACACAGCTGCTCAGCTTTACAGACGCTCTTCAAATCACTGAATAACGCTTATCAAACATTTAAAGCATTTATTTACAAGGGGAAAATGGTCGCTGAGTCTTTTCTCTAAGCCCTGTCTAGTTCTATCTACTCTTTTGGTCTCGAGATTAATACTTTAAATAATATCATACAACACCAGGCAGCCATCCTGCATTGTTTGAGAATATTTTAAGAAGCTTAGGCAATCAAATCAAATGTCAAACCAGTATGTAGCAAATGAGCAGGCAAGGTCATCCACTGACCTAAGCCCTGTCCCCAGATTAGTGGGCATAGAGTCACTGGATGATTAGGACTAAAGCAGTAATGCCCAAACTATGGCCAGTGCACCATATCCAATCCACGATGCAGGACAACAGTGGGTGGCAGAAGGCAAAGTATGAACCATCCATACGACCAGGCAGCCATCTCCTGCATTGTCTGAGACTATTTTGAGAAGCTCAGGCAATCAAATCAAATGTCTGTCTGACAAGTAAATTGAGCAGGCAAGGGGTCATCCACTGTACCTAAGCCCTGATAAGTGGACAAGTGAGTCACTGGATGATTAGGACTAAAGCAGTAATGCCCAAACTATGGGCCAGTGGACCCTATCCAACCAAGGACGCAGTAATATCTTTCTCCTGAAAAATTCACCACTTAGTAGGACTAGACTAGAGCAAGAGAGGTGTGCATGGTACTCAAAGCCTTTAATAGAATATTTGTAACTGTCACCCAAATCACTGTAGTGTACTGATATGAAGAATACAAGACATGATAAAATAGCTATTCAATTACTTTTGCCATAATGCAGTACAACAGCTATGCACATCTGCCTCATAAGCCTAACCCAAAGGCACAAAGGGGCTTGATCCTATATGTGGACATTCTATTCATTGTGAACATTCAACATTTTTAAATAGTTTTTGAATACTCAGTAAACAAGGACTTTTTAAAAATAGATTGATTTACAATACAAAAAAAAATCCTTTACAATGAATCAGTTCATATCAAATCAAATAATGTAACAACTATTGTAGACAAAAATGCCCAAAACAATGTCAATACAGTACATTTGTAAGTAATCGCTTACTTTATAAATTGTACATTATTCAATTATTTGTAGCTAGACTGAATGTTTTTTCTTTTTCCAAAAAATACTGGATTGTGTTGAGGTGTTTGGTAGGACATTTGAACAAGTCCTTGAAAACACAGGCATCGTCAGCGACCAGGTCACTCTCTAGGTGCGCTGCCACAGCTTCCATGGATACAAGGGAACACGACGAAGAGTGAAGGTAATTTTGGGCCAGGTCTTTTATGTTTCTGGCTATGCTGACCAGCTTCTCCGATGGGTTCATCAGGATGATGGGGCAGGTCGCTAGCTGATCCCTGGTGAACCCTGCAAACAAGAGGAAGTCAAAGTTTCTAGTCACATCCTGGATATCGATGCCTGACACATCGATGTCACAGTCGAAAATACTGATTCTGCTGCTGCTGTCCAGGCTGAGCTTTCTGACCACTAGGTAGACCATTTGTCTCCTTAACATTTTGGTGCATGTGTAGCTCTTCCTGACTTTGTCCTTACTTAAAGCTTCAACTAGTGGCGGTACCTCAGTATTGTTGCTGGTCCAATCTGCTTATAGAGAAAATATTAGTTATGTTTCATTTATTCTATCTGGATAAAGAGAAAACATTAGTTATATTTCATTTTTAAAAAAATCAAGATTTTATAAAGCAGAAACATATGACAGGATGAAAGCTATGTTTGCTGTCAACCTGTGAGTTAACAATTTTACTAGTGAGGGCTGGAATATTTAGCTTAGAATTTAGGCACATCCCAGAATCCACAAAGTTCTAATGAAATTACGAGGGTGAAAAAATATATTCAATTAGCCACTGTGCTATTCAACACAACTAATTTGAACTGTTGGCTGCAGTAACAAAAGAAGTTTACATTAGTTTGCCTCTGGAAATTTTTATTTTATCTATGATGTGGATCGGAATGAATACTTTAAAAATATATTTTTAAAATGTTTTTAAAAAGTTATTTAGTCTATAGCAAATTAATGTTAATCTTAATCCTTTATTCTTACACAAAAAAACAACACAAAAAACTACTAAATTAATCTTTTTCCACTGGCTCACCCACCCAACCTTAACATTAGATAGACTCCCTCTTCATTTTTAAAGAAGACTGTCTCTATCATTTATTAAATTCCCATTCTTTCTTTTCCTAAACAGCCTTTTTTTTTTCCCTCCTATTTGTTGTTGTTGTTGAGATTCTTGGAAAGACACAAACTAAACAAACTTGAAATATAAATGTTATTTTGCTTTTAAAAACTTCCTGTTGCCAAATAAAAATGTTTTATATGGAAATATACTACTCAACGCCATGCCACTTAGGATTTCAGTCCAAATACATTCCAAAATATTAAATTCACTATTCTGAACAAAAATGCTTATTTCACCAATTAGCACAGTAACAATAAAATTAGTTTTAACAAATAATTTATTTTTTTTTTTTTTAGTTTTTCAGAGTTCAATCTTCAGTCTTCTGTCAGTTTCAGTCTTGAATCTTAATTCCATCTCATTAATGAAATTTAACATTTCTCAGGGTCCACACTGTTGAACAATGTTTTTTGTTTTACCAAGTTAGTTATGCTCAACTATTGTTTCCTAATTTATTTAATGTTACCCGTCATTCCTTCCCTTTGTTGTAAGTGATAATTACTTTTACAAATAAGTAGAAAACTTGTTTCTCCTTTTTTCTATTCTTTTTACAGTTTCCTTAAATAATTTTGTTTAAAATAAAAGTATTTATTAATATTAATCTATTTGGTATATTTGCATGAACCTATCAGAATCTATCTGGATCTTGTGTTTCTTCAGAGTTGAAGATAATTTACTTCCTACTCCAAACCTCATGCAGAACAACGGGGGATGGTAGCAGGATGGGTATGCAACCAGGACCATCGGGACAGCCCAGCGTGCATACTGCACAACCAGGCAGCCATCGACGTAAAGCTTTGTGCGATTTTTTTTTACCCTTGAGGGTATATGAATGAAGGTTTCTGAGATGCTTTTAGGTGCTCAGCAAACACAACTCAACTCAAGTAAGTATTTACACTTGAAAGAACTTTGTAGGTAGCCCTGCAATTTTCAGCCACATCTCCCAATAAGAAAAAAAAAAGGTTCCTACCTTCCATTTCACCTGCTGTACTGACTGCCTGTGTAGTTCTATCACTGACTCCGTTCATCTCTCGCGTTTTCTCCATCTCGTGTAACAGGTAAACTGAGACAGGAAGTCCTGACTCTTGAAAACACACAGTAGCTGCATGACATTTTTCTATTGGAAACCTGATGACAAAGAGTGTCAATCTTAATCATAAAGAGAAATCCATAAAATGTTTCTTGGCAGATTTCAAAACCTTTAACTTGCTGGACCAACACACCTTGAATTTTTTAAAATATGAATGATTTATCGCTTGTTTAACTGATTATTAACTGAACATTTGTGTCCCCAGATAAGTACATAACTGAATATAAAGTGTACTGGTACTTTTGTGCCCCCAGATAAGTACATAACTTATTATTAATTGTACTTTTGTGTCCCCAGATAATTACTAAAGTGACTATTAACTGTACTTCTGTGTCCCCAGAAAAGTACATAACTGATTATAAAGTGTACTTTTGTGCCCCAGATAATTACATATGAAAAGTATTCTCTACAAAATACTTATAGTTAATAAAAGTACAGGTATTGTAGTACCAAAAGAAAATCTGCTGCCGAGGACAAACGCAGACGGCAAAAAGAAAATCTAAATCGACCACCTGCTGACAATGGTTATGCTTGCCCTGGATGTGGCAAAATATGTGGGTCACAGCTGGGACTGCGCAGCCATGGGAAATACTTCATTCCTCAAAATCTTCGGACTCAAAAACTAGCCTTATTATTATTATTATAAAAGTACAGGTATTGTAGTCTATATACAAATTTAGAGAAATGTACTGACTTTTTCTGTTTGTTTGTTTATAGTTGAGTCTTATGTTTTTAGCAAGCTAGAGACAAGCAGCTTTACAGAAAATATTCTTTTTGACATTATAAGAAAATGTAAACTCTTGGTCATCAATTTTTACATCACCACAAAAAGTATCAAGTACCCAATCATAAGAGCTGGGAAGACTCAAGGAAATCCCTAAAACAAATTTCAAATCCTTTTTGGGTTCAAATCTCCATTCAGCATCCAAGAACTGCAACACATTATAAAACTAAACTTCCCCTTTCAGACCTTGCAATCTATAGCGCAGTTGATGAAAAGGTCATCTGTTTCTGTGTCCCACGATTAACGAGGGTGTCAGGTGGCCAGCACAACTGTCTTTTACTTTCCCCCAACAAATTTCGGGCGACCCAGTCTTCAAACCAGGGACTCGTGGTTAAGAAGCCATATGTTTTAACACTCAGCCACCGAGACTCTAAACGGAATGTGGTGACCAAGTAGTTAAAGTATTTGAACCAAGAATCAAGTTTTAATTCCAATAGAGGATATTAGCTCCCCCTTAAGTTCAAACTGCTCTAGTGGGCACTAAATATGTTTTCCACCTACTTGTTTAGCATCTTGAGATTGTTGAAGATGTCCTGCTTAGAGATGCCAGCATTCAGACACATTTGGACTTTGTACTTCAGCTTGGTTGCATTCAAGTTCCACAGACTCCAACATGCCTTGGTACAAAGATAGAAAATTGACATATAACAAAACACACCTTGT